GATCCTACCAGCTGTAAAAGAAATCCCTGAAGGGATCCTACGAGCTGTGATAGGACCCCTATATGGATCCCACCAGCTGCAATGGGATCCCTATAGGGATCCTACCAGCTGCAATAGGATCATTATCGGGATCGTGCCAGCTGCGATAGGATCCATATAGGGCTCGTGCCAGCTGCGATAGGATCCATATGAGGACCCTACCAGCTGGGACAAGATCCCTCAAACGGATCGTGTAAGCTGTAATAAGACCAATATAGTGATCGTGCCAGCTGCGATGGGATTAATATAAGGACCCTACCAGCTGCGATAAGATCCCTATAGGGGGGAGTCTTCGCAGACTGCATGCTTTGAGGTCTTGAAAGGGGTGTTGTATGAGGTTTCATTGGAGGCCAGCAGGAAGCCTGGAACGAGGCCTGGGAGGAGGCCTGGGGGGACGCCCAAAGACGAGGACACCTTCTCGTTCGTACTTCCTTCTCCTCCTCCTCCTTCTCCTCCACCCCCTCCTCCTCCTCCTGCTCCTGCTCCTCCTCCTCTTCCTCCTCCTTCTCATCCTCCTCCTCCCCCTCATACTCTTCCTTCTCCCATCATCCTTTCCTCAAGCGACAGGGTGACCGCGTCTTGTAGGAGGCCTGGGAGGAGGCCTTGTAGGAGGCCAAATACGACTTGTAGAAGCCTTGGAAGCAGAGCGTCGCAATACAGCTTCACGGCTGCGCGCTAAGTTGCGGCAGAAATTACGTTATTTTGCCAGAGTTGCGGCAGGGCCTCCTCACCCCCCGCGGCCCAGACAGCGTGGGTCAAGACTGGTTCAATCCAAGCTGTTCGGCGACCTCAAGGTGACCCCACGGTGACCCCAAGATGACCCTGAGATGGGCACGATGCCTTAAGGGGACCCTCATGCGGGGCCACGAAACCTGTGAGAGGTGTTCCGGAATTTGCCCGAAGCCTTCCAACTCTGGAACGATCCCTGTGAGGATCCTTACAGTTCTTGCACGATCCCTATAAGAACCGATGCGGTCTCGTACGAGGCCTGAAGCGATCCTACCACAGCTGTGGCAGGATCCCCTATGGGGGTCCATACGGCTTGAGTTGAATCCCTACAGGGCGTCCCTTTGGGTGTCTGGGGGCCATTGGGGTGCCTGGGGGCGTGGGAGTGCGGGGACGTGGGGGTGTGGGGGGGTGCCGAGGCCCCAGTGTAGGAATCCATCATTCCTCCGTGAATTGCAATGAAGTATCTTGCTGTTGTTGTTGCTGTTGTTGTTGTTGCTGTTGTCGTTGTCGTTGTCGTTGTCGTTGTCGTTGTCGTTGTCGTTGTCATTGTCATTGTCGTTGTCGTTGTCGCTGTTGCTGTTGTTGTTGTTGTTGTTGTTGTTGTTGAACATCATTTATTCTAAAGAATAATTATTGTTGGGCCCCCTGGTGCGCGCCCCCCCTGCGCCGCCTAGGCCGCAGCTACATTTTCATCATTTTCGTGAGGAAGCCTCAGAAAAGAGGGTGTGTACAGGATCCGGTTGTTTTGTTGTAATCCGCTTTCCCTTGCAAAAAACAATAGAAAATGACATTTCTTGTTCTAATATAATCAAATTTCAAGAATCCCTTGCAAAAAATAAGGTAAAGTGGACATTCGCGCGCGCAAGACGAAATCCTTCCAAAACCTTAGTGTTCGCAAGCGATTTTAACATAAAAACATCAAAAAACCAATGGTTTTTCAAAAAAAATGTCAAAATCTCATCCCGCGCGCTCTTGCGGATTCGTAGGAAACCCAACACTTTTTAAACATTTCTGTCAAACGGGCTTTTGCGAGCAACTTTTTCGAACTTCTGCGACAACGGTTGCGCACCTGCCAGGGCCATCATCCCTGTCAAATAATACCATGCGGGACACATTCGTTTTTTCTTCGCGCGCGCACGCCGTCGTCGTCGGCCGCGGGGCCCTGAATAGTAGCCACGGTCGTCCGCATGCCACGAAGTGAAGTGTCCGAACGTCATAGGGCGGGAAGCTGGGTGTGGGTGGTGGCGAAGAGTCGTTTGGAAATTTGGTAGAGCTTGAACCGGCCCCCCCACAAAGTGGGGGTATTGCCCGCCTCCTATGAAAACCCTGGCACTGGTGAGAACGGAGTGTCCCCACGTGCTAGTAATTGTTGTTGTTGTTGTTGTTGTTGGGGGGGGTGCTGGGGCCCGGCGACCGTTCCTGTTCAACAACAACAAGGACAGGACCTTCCCTGGGCCCCGGCGCTCGGGCTCCTCCAGCGCTCTCCTCCAAGGGGGTGCAGGAATCGTCTCTGGGCCCCGGGTTCCCCCCCCAAACAACAACAACAACAACAACAACAACAGCAACAACAAGAGCAATAACAACAAGAACGCTTGGAATGCATACAGAACAGAAAGGAGGAGCCCCTCAGGGCTCCGGTACTGCATCGGAGTGGTGACTTACGTGTGCCCGCTAGAGAAGCGAGGGATTCTGTAGAACCCTACAGGGATCCTATAGAAACCCTACAGGCATCCTACAGAAACCCTACAGGCATCCTATAGAAACCCAATGTGGATGCTATAGAAACCCTACAGGCACCCTATAGAACCCATACAGGCATCCTATAGAAACCCCCATACAGGCATCCTATAGAAACCATACAGGCATCCTATAGAAACCCTACAGGCATCCTATAGAAATTCTACAGGCATCCTAACACCACTACCACTACAACCATAATCATCATCACCACCACTACCACCACTTCCACCACCACCACCAACACAACCACCACCACCATCATCATCATCATCATCATCATCATCATCACCATCATCATCATCATCATCATCATCATCATCATCATCATCATCATCATCCTTATTATTATTATTATTATGATTATCCTTCGCCTTATTATTATTGTTGTTGTTATTATTACTATGATTATCCTTCGCCTTATTATTATTATGTTTCTTCTTTTTATGTTTATTATTATGTTGATTATTATTGTTGTTGTTGTTGTTGGGGGGGAGCGCTGGGGCCCGACGCCTGCTCCTATTCAACAACAACAGCAACACCAACGACAACAACAACAAGAACAACAACAACAACAGCAGCATCAAGAACAACAACAACAACAACAAAAACAACAACAACAACAACAACAACAACAACAACAGCAACAACAACAACAACAGCAACAACAACAACAACAACAACCGCAACAACGACGACGACGACGACGACGACGACGACGACAATCAGTTTAAGACTGCTCGTTCCTAGCTGCTCACGTGACAACCAATACGTACATCTCAAACCCTCGGTACCCGCCCTCGTAGTCTTCGATCGTACCCCTTTGGTGCATATCCTTAGTGCAGCCCCTAATAGAAGGGAAGAGAGGACGGGCGGAAGGAGGTGGGAGAAGAATGGAGCACAGGAGAAATTAGCAGGAGGGGGGCAAGGAGCAGAAAGTGGTAGAACCAGACGGGCAGATCGGGTGGGCAGACCCATAGCGGGCAGGTCGGGAAGGTGGGCCCAGGCGACGAGGTCGAGCAGGCGGGTTGCTGAAGCGTGGGTTCTGCATGAATCACGAGGAAGTCTCGAGCGATAGCGCGATTCCCAAGTAAATCGTGAGAAAAGCCAAAGCGAGAGCGTGATTCCTGAGCGCCGAGGGCGCATCGTCTGAGTGGATTGCGACGAAGGCCCACGCGAGAGCGCGATGCGTACATGAATTGTGAGGTAGTCCCGCGCGAGAGCGCGATTTGGGAATCAATTGTGAGGAAGTATCAGGCGGGAGCAGCTGTTGTTGTAAACCGCGGGCCAGGGGCCTTGTTTGAGCCCCGTGACTTTCCCTGATGCGAGCCCTGGGGGAAACACTTGAAAAACACTATGGTAAGTCTTCTTCAGTAGTGAGAGTTCAACCACAGCAGCTGCAGCACCAGAACCCGCAGCAGCATCACCATCACCATCACCATCACCATCACCATCACCATCACCATCACCATCACCATCACCACCACCATCATCATCATCATCATCATCATCATCATCATCATCATCATCATCATCATCATCATCATCATCATCATCATCATCATCTTCTTCATCTTCATCTTCATCTTCATCCTCATCATCATCAGCATCAGCATCAGCATCATCATCATCATCAGCATCAGCATCAGCATCAGCATCATCATCATCATCATCATCAGCATCAGCAGCAGCAGCATCATCATCATCATCATCATCATCATCATCATCATCAGCAGCAGCAGCAGCAGCAGCAGCAGCATCCTCCTCCTCCTCCTCCTCCTCCTCCTCCTCCTCCTCCTCCTCCTCCTCATCATCATCATCATCATCATCATCATCAGCATCATCAACAACAACATCATCATCATCATCATCGTCGTCATCATCATCAGAATCATCATGACTAGCATCATCATCATCAGTATCATCATCAGCAGCATCATCATCAGTCAGCATCATCATCATCAGTCAGCATCATCATCATCATCATCATCATCATCATCATCATCATCGTCATCATCAGTATCATCGTCAGCAGCAGCATCATCATCGTCATCATCATCAGCAGCAGCATTAGCATCATCATCGACAAAATCGTCATCGATATCATCATCAACGACATCATCATCGTCATCGTCCGCAACATCGTCGTCATCATCATCAGCATCAGCAGCATCATCTTAATCTTCATCGTCGTCGTCATCATCATTGTCATCCTCATCACCACAATTATCACTATCATAAGCATCATCATCATAAGCATCAGCATCAACATCGTCGTCGTCGTCACTGTCATGCTCATCACCACCACCACAACCATCATCATAAGCATCATCATCACCATCAGCAGCAGCATGATCATAATCGTCGTCATAGCTATCGCCATCGCCATCGCCATTGCCATCCCCATGGCCAGAGCCATCGCCCTCACCATCGCCCGTCCTCCCTCCACATCCCCCATGCCCCCATCCTCCGCCTCCTCCTGCACGCAGTGGGACGTCCTTGACGTCTGGGTTCACGCAGTAGGGGCAGCAGTGTCCCGGCAGGCTCTCCACCTGCGGCCGGTAAGGATGGCGAGGGGGGTTGCACGCCGGGAAGAAGGCTGGGGAGAGGAAGAAGGAGAAGGAGAATAAGAAGAAGTGGGATGAGGAAAGGGGAGGAAGAGGAGAAGGAGCAGCAGCAGGAATACGGACGTCCTGGCTGGGGGAGGAGGGGAAGAGAAGAGGAGGAGGGGGGAAAGATCGACCATAGCTGAGGCGCAACAGCATTTCCGTGAGCTGGTCTCCATGAGTCACCACAGCTTTGGACTTCTGAAGGGGGGGGATGAGGAGTAGGACAAGGTCAGGACGCACGATTGTCGCGTATGATCTTTCATAAACAAGAGAAGGCATAGGTTCGTAGCTACGAAGCCCGAGTGGACCCACTCAGGAACCAAATTTGCGCTTGTTCTGACTCGTTACCACGAGCCTCAATTTGTCGGCGCTGCTGTTCGCTGCTTAGGAACCCAAGCGGTTGCAATAGACAAACCTGATGCGTCGACCAATCCGAAGATGCTGCTACCGCCTGCCGCATCGTTCGACCTGCAATCTGTCAGCAACGGCCGTACCCGTAAAAATGAATGGTGCCTTGCAGGCACTGGGCGACTGCCTGTCCCATCCCTCAGGCCTCCACCTCCGGAGTGGCCTTCTTGGAGCGGACACGGCGCGGACATCTACCATCATGTACGGGGAGGAGAGGGAGGAAGGGAGGGAGGGGGGCAGAGGACATCCTGTTCACCCTTGTGCTGCTCTCGTTCTCTCGCCTATACTTGGACTTGGTCCCCTCGTACCAGAATCGACCGCATTGTCAGATTTTTCCAGGTCGCGAGCAAGCAAGCGGGGCGGAGAGGGAGACGAGGGGGGGGGCCGGAGGGAGAGGGGACGGGAAGGGACAGCCTGAGCCGGGAGAGCTGGAGGGGGAGGCGGAGGAAGGAGGGGGGCGGAGGGGCGGGGAGGGGGAGAGGGCAGAGGGAGGGGGACGGAGGGGCGGGGAGGGAGGCGGGGGAGGGACCCTGAGATCCGACGATGCGAGAAACTTGCCACACTGTGGGAAATCACGACCAGGGCCGACACCCAAACTTTCTGCAGCATTTCTCAAGCCCGGTCGATTTGTGAGGGCCCCAGGGCCCGAAGCTGGGCGAAAACGCCTGGTGCGAAAGACTTGCGACGCCCCGATTTCAGGGAGAAACACAGCCAGGCAGCCACAGCTGAACCCTACCCCTGCAAGTACGGATTCTGGAAAGACGGCTGGCGCTCCGAGGTTGAAGGATGTCTGCAGCAAAGTGAAGCCCAGCGGGGGCGTGCGATACCCCAGCATCAATGGCCCCGCAAGGGTAGGGTTCACAAACACAGTCAAAACGTGTATCAAAGACGGGTGGGAAGGACGCAAGACCAACTTGGAAGCCGAAGTTGGGAATTTTGTTGGGCGGCGGGCGACCAGCGAAAACGGCAAAGGACGGGCGCAGAGGCAGGAGAGCCCAAAATCAAATCGAAAAGTCGAATCGGAAATCGGCATGAGCCGGATCGACGGAAATCGGCAGCCAAGTCGGGAAGAATCGAATCGGCGGACATCGGCAGGCCAGTAGGCCTCCAATAAGAATTCGGAACCCAGATCAGGATCCCAACTCGAATCGAATCTAAATCAGTTTTTTACCTAGCATATCCATATTAGTGCAACATACAAGGCATTCCCTGTACACCCGCCTCAAGCTCGCCTGGCAACGGCTGTGCCGCGCCACGGTCGCCGAGAGGCAGTTGACTGCGCAACTTCCTTTGGTTCCCTTTCTGGTCTAGGACTGAATATGCCCACTCTTTCGGGCACCCCTGGTCCAGTCCGTCTCCAACGTGTCGGCGTGTGGTTGGCTATCCTCTTCAGGACCTGCCACAACCAACCACACGGGGCAGGTCGACGCTGTCACGAACGACACCTTTTGTTTCCGACTGTGCGAAAACACCACGCGTACCTCTTGAATGCAAAGATACACTGTGTCTGGTCGTATTCTGGGACTCCTTCGTCCACACCAAAATTGCCAGAAGATGTCAAGCCAGGCTCTGAGAACCTGCTGTTTTGGCCTTCAAAAGAAGAAGGAAACAACTGCCCCCTCTTTCGTGACACCGCCGGCAACCGCAGGTAAACCTGGCGATTGCCCCCTTTTTCCTTGAGCGGACACGAACCACGGCCCAGGCGTGTGAGCCACCCGACCCCTGCGTTAGGTGCTCGTGGAGAATCCGAGGGCGCCTGCGAAGCCCCCTTTTTGGTAAAGCCACCACTGATACCTCTCTGACTGTTGGGAAAAAGGCCGCACCACCGAAGACGAGTTCCTGGAGAGACGTTCGGCTGATAGCCATTCTTTTGCTAAGCATCTCCATATTAGTGCAACATACAAGGCATTATTTGTACACCCGCCTCAGGCTCGCCTGGCAACGGCTGTGCCGCGCCACGGTCGCCGAGAGGCAGTTGACTGCGCAACTTCGTTTGGTTTCCTTTCTGGTCTAGGACTGAGTATGCCCACTCTTTCGGGCACCCCTGGTCCAGTCCGTCTTCAGCGTTTCGGCGTGTGGTTGGCTATCCTCTTCAGGACCTGCCACAACCAACCACACGGGGCAGGTCGACGCTGTCACGAACGACACCTCTGCTTCCGACTGTGCGAAAACACCACGCGCACCTCTTGAATGGAAAGATACACTGTGTCTGGTCGTATTCTGGGACTCCTTCGTACACACCAAAATTGCCAGAAGATGTCAAGCCAGGCTCTGAGAACCTGCTGGTTTGGCCTTCAAAGAAGGGAGGAAACGACTAAATCGGAGGCCATCGAAATCGAATCGAATCGAATCAGAGGAATCGAAACCAGCCCTGGAGGCAAGGACACAAGGGCACCCTAGATGGAGGCGCGCGCCCTTGCTGGGCGCGTTGCCTGTAATCACTTGTGGGTCAGCGGCCGCGGGCGCAGTGCGAGGCGGTCGGCTAGCGTGAAGCACATGCTGGCGAGCATCGGAGAGCAGAAATTACCTCAATGCCACGCTGGCCGGACGACACCATCAGCACGTTATTGATCCAGTGCCACGCGTTTGCACCAAACGCTATTCGACAGCAATCACAGCTTTACCCCTCCCGAGAGCTAGGCACGACGCAAAGAGAAAGCACGCATAGGGGCAGCCGCACCGCAGAGGAAGATGTCGACCCCTGTCCCAGATTTTTGGAACGACTGGACCAGCAATTTGGGGCCCAACCTCGGGATAGGCCACAAAAGCGCGAGTCGAGAGCACAGGGCCCCCTCGTCGAGGCCCAAGGAGGCCCCATCCTAAAAACGAAAAAAACATTACAAGGCGAGGAGCCCAAAAACAGAGACCATGAGGCCCCCCGTCCAAAAGCAAGCGTTCGAGTCGGAGAGTTGTACATAACCGTCGCCTGGAGGATCGATTTTCGCGGACCTCCGAAGAGGGTGTGGATACAGATATAGTTTGGCCCCTGGAGGCCAAAGTATACCCACATCCACCGCCCGCTGGGTCCCCAGGATATCGCTTCCCGGGCGTGGATATGGATAAATCCCCACCTCACAAATCAATGTTCCCGACCCGCGTGCCAGCTGTACTCTCGGCCCGACTGGTACTAGACCCGCTCAGAAAACTCCGACTTCTGGCTCAAGAGCCCGCAAAGGCGGCAACAAAAAAGATCGATGGGAATGATGTTTTGTTTTGCACCTCCTGGAATAACAGAATCATGGCGCTGGCTTCTAGTCGCCTGCCGAAAGGCTGGGGAAGGTCAGTGCCGTGTCGGTAATTCCCTGGAACGCTGGGGCAAGCTGACGATGTGTTCGGCCCAACTGGAAGATCTGGCAAAAATTCGCCGGCCCAACGGGCCAGAGGCGTGCTAAGATCTCCGGTAACGTGTTAACAATATTTCTAGTTCGCGCGCGCGGAGCGGCCCCTGGGGGCCCCCGGACGAAAAGTACCCCGGCAAGGTCCCGAGAGAAGCCCGGGAGAAGCCACCAGACCACTCCAGGGGAGGGTATTTTTCGACACCCCTCACGAGGATCGTGGCCTCCGAGGGGGGAGCCGCAATCGACTACCCCCAAGAGCCCCCCAAGAGGCCCTGGGGGCCTCCAAAATGCCGCCAAGGAGCCCCAAGAGACTCGCAAGAGGTCCCCAAGAGGCCCCCAAGAGGCCCTAAAGAGGGCTCCAGGGCCGGCGGCATGAGCGAAGCGATTAAATGATGTGTTGCCGTGTGAATACCCTCGGATATCCTTCTGTCAACTGATCGAAACGTGTTATCTGCGATGCTGGGGATGTACACGCCACAAGGTCCCCCGAGCGCACGCGATCCTGCCAACAACTAACCCGTCTGCTAGGGCCGCTGAAAGGTTGTTGAGATGCCTATGATTCCCTAGATCTGTAAGCAGCAGCGGCCACAGCAGCACAATCAAGGTCAAGCCAAGCTGCCTTGAAGGTACCCGGACACACCAAGCTCGCAGCGCAAGTGATGCTTCCACAAGGATCCTGAGCGACAGCAGCAGCTCTGGCGCCCGGGTGGCAGCAGACATGGATAGGTCGAGGGGTGAATTCTGGCAGTTACTCATTCAACATGGTGCAGAGAGAGAAAGGTTGAGAAACAGAGAGAGAGAGGAAACAAAAAAAGAGAGAGAGAACAGACTGAGAGAGAGAGAGAACAACACATAAAAAACAGAGACGAAGTGGGACACGGACATACAGAGACAGTATGAGAGCGGAATGCATGATCAAGTCTTGGCAAGCGCGGAACCCAAATGGTAAGCCATTGCACTTTGGACATGAAGCGTATGAGGCGCAACCTACGTGGTGCAATTCATCATGAAGAACTCGGAGTCGTCTATTACAATGCTCGCGCAAACATCCCGCCCTTCCACCTGCGATTTGCTCGGCAAACCCATGCGGCCATGATTACAGATACTGGATGCCACTTGTTTGGCATATTTCTGCGGTTGCGCTGGCGCGGGCACGCTCGCGCGCAGGGCGAGAAGCTAGTTGAGCACAACTGCTGCGACCACGATGGCGCTTGCTGATGGGAACTTACAGCGCGTATGTGGCGCCAGGCTGGCGCGCGGGCATTGCGTTGCAGGTCGGTGACTCATCATATCGCCTGCGCATGCAATACTAGTAGAAAAAAAAATCAAAACAAAAAAAAAACAAAAAAAACGTACCTCGTCATCCTGACTCTCTTCCGCTCCTCGAAATCCTCCTGCTCGCCCTCACCTCCTCATGCTCCTATGCTCCTCCTGATCCTCACCCCGTGCGCCCTCTTCCGTCTCTCCTTGATCTCGGGCTGCGCGGCGTTCGCCCGCACCTGCCGGGGGGGACTCGTGAGGAAGCTCGCCGGCCAGAGCCGGACCGCGCCCGCAGAGAGTTCAACGTCTCTGGGCCGCCGTGGGGGGGGGGGGGCGGGCGGAACGGCGAGATGCTGATCAGAGGGGGAGACACGGGCATCAGTGCCCGCCGCCGCGATGGCAGTGGCAGGTGCGGCCCAGGCGCATCCGACTCCCTTCACGAATGCCACTCCTCCTCGCGAGACGACGGTGGGGGCCTCCTCTGAAGCACCACCCCTCGAGCAGAGTTGGAATGCAACCCTGTGGCGTTGTCATCTTGTTTGCATCAACTGTGCCTTACCGAGGCGTCGGCGATCCAAGCACCAGGTGCTCGACTTAAAGCGCACAAAGATTCGCTCGAGCCCAATCCCCCACCGAGCCATAGTCACTGGGTTCATTGTCCTCAGGTCCCTTGAACGAGCGAACGCACGAGTCTGCCGTCGCCGCGAAGCAACCCTGCATACAGGGGCGGCAAGCGCGACAAACGCGCTGGCCTCCAGGAAGGCCGGCTTGCTGATAAAAGTGACGCATGAAATACAAGCGGAGAGCGCGCTAGCGCCACTGACTCGACAGATTCAGACATTGACGAACGAGCAACACACACCCATACCCATAAGGGGGTCGTTGGGAGGAGGACTGGCTATGGGTATGGATGCGGGTTGTCGGACCCTGGGGAACGCTCCCGTTCGAGCGGGGACTCCCATCCGACAACACGCACCCATAGCCCTCTCCGACCCCTCTATGGGTATGGGTGTGTGTTGTTGGTTCGTCAGACATTGCTTGAAAGGCCCAATCGCCACTGCTCGGGGGCAGCACACAGCGGATGCACCGTGGAGGTGGCAAAAGGGGGCCTCTGCTGCGACGCTGGCCGAGGAGGGGGGGCCAGCGGCGACCCACGAAATCAGCGCGGAGTTCGGAAAAAATGATCCCGGCAAAGCAACCTAACAGCGATGTGTATAAGCATATCTGGAAGCATTCCCCTTAAGATTCAGGTGAGAATCGAATTCTGCTGTTCTCGCAGTCGCAGTCGCATTCGCAATGACAGTCGCAGTGGCAACGGCCTTAGGATCCAATGGAATCCTAAGGATTCCTAGGGATTCCTAAGGCATCCTTAGGCATCCTTAGGAGTTCATAGGAATCCTTAGGAAACCTTAGGAATCCTTAGGAATCCTGATGCCTAGGGATTCCTAGGGATTCCTAAGGATTCCTAGGGAATCCTAAGGATTCGGAAGGATTCGCCTGCCTCGGCCTCAGCCTCAGCCTGCCTCAGCCTCAGCCTGCCTCAGTCTCAGCCTCAGCCTGTCTCAGCCTCAGCCTGCCTTAGCATCAGCCTCAGCCTCAGCCTCAGCCTGCCTCGGCTTGCCTCGGCCTCCCAGCCTCAGCCTGCCTCGGCCTCAGCCTCAGCCTCAGCCTGTCTCAGCCTCAGCCTCAGCCTGCCTCAGCCTCAGCCTGCATCAGCGTCAGCCTCAGCCTGCCTCAGCCGCAGCTTGCCTCAGCCTCAGCCACAGCCTCAGCCTCAGCCTGCCTCAGCTTCAGCCTCAGCCTCAGCCTGCCTCAGCCTCAGCCTCAGCCTCAGCCTCGGCCTCAGCCTCAGCCTCAGCCTGCCTCAGCCTCAGCCTCAGCCTCAGCCTCAGCCTCAGCCTCAGCCTCAGCCTCAGCCTGCCTCAGCCTTCAGCCTCAGCCTCAGCCTGCCTCAGCTCAGCCTGCCTCAGCCTCAGTCTCAGCCTGCCTCCTCAGCCTGAGCCTCAGCCTCAGCCTCAGCCTGCCTCAGCCTCAGCCTCAGCCTCAGCCTCAGCCTCATCAGCCTCAGCCTGTCTCAGCCTCAGCCTGCCTCAGCATCAGCCTCAGCCTCAGCCTCAGCCTGCCTCGGCTTGCCTCGGCCTCAGCCTCAGCCCTCAGCCTCAGCCTCAGCCTGCCTCAGCCTCAGCCTCAGCCTGCCTCAGCCTCAGCCTGCATCAGCCTCAGCCTCAGCCTGCCTCAGCCGCAGCTTGCCTCAGCCTCAGCCACAGCCTCAGCCACAGCCTCAGCCTGCCTCAGCTTCAGCCTCAGCCTCAGCCTGCCTCGGCCTCAGCCTCAGCCTCAGCCTCAGCCTCAGCCTCGGCCTCAGCCTCAGCCTCAGCCTCCCTCAGCCTCAGCGTCAGCCTCCCCGCGTCAGCCTGCATCAGCCTCAGCCTCAGCCTCAGCCTGCCTCAGCCTCAGTCTCAGCCTGCCTCAGCGTCAGCCTGCCTCAGGAATGGTGTTCCGGGAACACGAAGAACACGAAGTGGCTGCAGTTGGCTCCGGGCATTGAAAATGTGGCCTTGGAATGGTGTTCTGGGAACACGAAGAACACGAAGTGGCTGCAGTTGGCTCCGGGCATTCAAAGTGTGTCCTGGGAATGGTGTTCTGGGAACACGAAGAACACGAAGTGGCCTACAGTTGGCTCAGGGCATTCAAAATGTGGCCTGAGACTGGTGTTCTGAGAACACGAAGAACACGAAGTGGCCTACACTTGGTTCAGGGCATTCAAAATGTGGCCTGGAAATGGTGTTCTGGGAACACGAAGATCACGAAGTGGCCTACACTTGGCTCCGGGCATTCAAAATGTGGCCTGGGAATGGTGTTCTGGGAATGGATTCCTTTGGATTCCTAAGAATTGCTCAGGATTCCTAAGGATTCCTGGGGCTGCATTTTTGTCCGGATCTGTCCGGATCCCGCCGGATCCCCTGTCCGGATCCCGCCCATCCCTCCTGGGGCGTCAAGATGCTCTCTTTTGAGACCACTAGAAACCTATCAGCAAAAGCTGTTAGGTAAATATTGCCAGAGATTCTGGCGGCGCGCAGGGGGGGGTGGGGGGCAAGCTAGTTGCGCTCGCGTCATAACTGACGTCCTACCCCTCCCTCCCATCCCTTGCCATGGCGGAGATCTCCTCGCTATTCACACAGTCGGATGTCGCAGCACGGCACAGCATTTGGGGGGAAGGGGGAGGACTTCTGACAAGGAGGCTGCTTCTTAGCAGGCGCGGGCCCTGTCCGTACGTGGGGTCCGCACCTGCTCAGAAGCAGCCTCCTTCTAAGAAGGCTTCCCCCCTGCCCCACCCACCCCTTTTTGTGCGCGCCGCCAGAAGCTACCACAGTGCTCCTCACATCTCCGACGTCTTCTTCTTCTTCTTCTTCTTCTTCTCGTTGTGATTATTCCTTTGTTCATTACGTGGGCCCCCAGAGGCTCGGGGTCGTCCACGAGGGGGATCCAGACAGGGGGTTCGCAAGTCGTGGCCCGAGGCACGCGCGCGGCCCAGGGGGGGGGGCAGGAGAAGCACCGAGAGAGAAAGAGGGGACCATGACCTCTGCGAGACGTCATGGCGTGTCCCCCTACAGGCGGATTTGGGCCGACAATTATGTTGCACATATATATATATATATATATATTAATATAACATACTATAATACAATATAATATAGTATCATATAATAAAAATATAGTATCAAATAATACAATATGATATAATATAATATATGATAATATAATAGACTCTAATATCATGTACTATAATATATTATAATAGAATTTATTATAATATATCATAATATGATATAATATGACATAATATACTATAGTATAATATAAGATACTATAGTATACTATAATATAATATATAATATAAAATAACATAATGTAATATAATATAGTATATTATGATAAAATATATTTTAATATAATACAATATAATATAATATAATATAATATAATATGATGCAATATAATAGAATATAATACAATACAATATAATATAATATAATATAATATAATCTGATATAATATAATATAATATAATATAACACCATATAATATAATAAAATATAATATGATACAATATAACACAGTATTATACACTATGATATACTATAGAATAAAATAGTATATTATAATATAATATAATATAATATAATATAATATAATATAATATAATATAATATAATCTGATATAATATAATATAATATAATATAATATACTATCACATAATAAAATATAATTATATATGGCGTCCCGATACTATGGTTTGCCTAATTTTTGAATATCCCTCCTGCAGAAGGGACAGGCCCGACTTAACCCTAGTCATCACCCCCCTCTCGGCTGCCCACCAGAATTTGGCGCTCCGCGCGGGATTCTTGGATCTGCGCTGGACAACCCTCCTTGGCGCGCGTAGCGCCCCAGGGGCGGCGCCGGAGGCGCCGCCGGGGGGGGCCCAGCGCGGATCCAAGAAAGCCGCGCGGAGCGCCGAAAGTTGATGTTTATGCCGTTTTGCTCTACTTCGAAAAGTGTCTGGACCTTCTCCCGAGGACCGGACGAGATGGGGGCGAACAGGCCAGGGGGAAGCAGTACATGTGTCCAGGGACGCCGATGATCCATGTCTTCGGCGAGGCTCCCGGGCGAATACGTTTAACGCCCGCCGCTGGGCTACTCGCCCTCATCGTCGCCGCCGAAGGTGAAGGGGCCCTGAGACACACAAATAAATACACACAAATAAAGATAGATTCCCCGTAGTTTCCTATATTTTGTGGGTGTCTGTCTTCCCCCACTTCCCATATGTTCCCAAATTTTCTGAGGAATCGAGGATTAATTGTGTCTGTGTGTTTTTTCCTCTCCTGAGAAGGACTGGTGTTTCGTCCTGGGCTGGTTCTGCCGGCGCGGGCGTCGCCTGCCTCCGATCTGAAGAAGGGGGGGGGCGGAGGGCGCAGCCCCACGCTTGCCCTCGTGCCCCGCTCGTGGCGAGGGCCCCTCGGTCCAGTCGTCCTCCTCGACCTCCTCCTCCTCCCACCCTCCTCCTCGAGCTCCTCCACTTCCTCCTCCCCCTCCTCCTCCGCCTCCGCCTCCGCCTTTTCCTCCTCCTCCTCCTCCTCCTCCGCCTCCGCCTCCGCCTCCTCCTCCTCCTCCTCCTCCTCCCCCTCCTCCTCCTCCTCCTCCTCCTCCTCCTCATGATCATGATCGTGATCATGACCATCATGCCATGGGCGGCTACTACGGCGCGCTGCCTGGACAAGTCCAACCTTCGCCCAGAGCCGAGCTCTGGGCAGCAAGTCGATGTCTCCTCGTGGCCGTCCCGCCATCTTGTCCAGTGGAGGCCCGTCCACAAGAAACCTTCCACAAGAAACCCAACACTGAGACACCAGGACGTCCACTGGTTTCTGGTGTGGGAACGTCACGCTTTCCATCGCACAGCCATCGAAACCCAAGAAATCCAGGGCACCCTGGAGGCGAGCAGGGTGTTTCTTGGCATGGGCCCCCACTGTATACGCGAGGCGCGACCCGTGGCGACCTTTTGCTGCCATGCACGCGTGAACTCCATCGCCGGCCGAACAAGCAGTGGAGCTAGGATCGGTTCTTGCGGGGCTCTCATCCCGCCGACCCTGATGTTGTGATTTCTGTCCATTGTGCCATCGTCGTCGGCGATGAAGCTCTGGCATGGCTAATGCTCGCGTGACCAGTTTGCGTGTGAGTATTGTGTGCTGTCGCATCCACTGAGGTGCGGAGAGGACGCCCTAGCCGCGATGCCCGTCTGGGTCGTTGGGCCGCCTCCTCGCTCGTTTCGCTCTTGCGACGCGCCCGGCGCTCAACCCGAGATCGGTACCGGTCATGGTCATAGTCATCGGCAACATCATCATCATCATCATCATCATCAGCATCATCAGCATCATCATCATCACCACCACCACCACCACCACCATCATCATCATCATCATCATCATCATCATCATCATCATCATCATCATAATCAGCATCAGCATCAGCATCAGCATCATCATCATCATCATCATCATCATCATCATCATCATCATCATCATCATCACCATCGTCATCAACACCATGATAAGCATCATCATCATCATCAGAATCACCACCACCATCACCACCAACAACATCATCACCATCATCATCAGCATCATAATCAGCATCATCAGCATCAGCATCAGCATTAGCATCATCATCAAGATCATCAACAGCATCAGCATCATCATCATCAAGGTCATCAGCATGTTCACTGTCATCATCATCATCATCATCATCATCATCATCAGCATAATCTGCATAAGCATCATCCTCATCATCTACAACATCATCAGCACCGCCATCACCACCACCACCACCACTCCCATCAACGTCATCATCATCATCAGCAGCAGCATCATCATCACCACCATCACCACCACCATCCATAGGTGTCTTCCTTCTTTCACATGTTCCTCCTCCACCTCCTCCTCCCTCTCCTCGAGCTCCTCGTCCTCCTCCTGATCCTCCTGATCCTTCCTCCTCCTCATCCTCCTCCTCGACCTCCTCGACCTCCTCGCCAAAGGGGGCCTCCTCCTCGACCTCCTCTTCCTCCACTCCTGGTTCAAATAACTCCCCCCTGTCGCGCCCCGAGGCCAGTCGGAAGAGCGGGCTGGGCGTTTCGCCTGACACTTTTCTACCATTCATGATCCTGAATATTTAAAATGAACAATATGTTCACACATGGAGGGCGGGTCGCTTCCAACACGTGGATCTCGCTTTAGCGCCGCGCACTTGTTCCAACAACTGCAATAAGAGCTTCGCGTATTGAGGACGGGTCGTTTTCAAAATGTGGCTTCGCCTGAGCGCCACGCACATTCGTCTTAAACATTTGCAAGAGCTTCACGGATTGAGGGCGGTTCCTTTTGACAATGTGGCTCTCGCCTGAGCGCCACGCACACTCTTCTTAAACATGTGCAGGATCTTCACGGATTGAGGGCGGTTCCTTTTGACAATGTGGCTCTCGCCTTAGCGCCGCGCACAATCGTTGTAAACATTTGCAAGAGTTGCACGGATTCTCATGTGTAGCGTACCAGAAATGGCGATTTCTAGCGATGCAGGATTGTCAGGGCGCAACAATTACGTTGACTCGCGGTGCTGAAGTCCCAGGAGTCGTGTTCTGGCACGACTTAGGATCGTCAGTACGCGACAGTCGAACTGATTCGTGGCGTTGAAGTCCCGCGAATGACGTTTTGGCGCGCTGCAGGATCTTCAAAGGGTTGTCTCCCAACGGGGCAGCTCCCTCAGTGAAAATGAATACTTGCAGGGGCCCATGTAAAGGAACCTTGAGAGGAGAGTTTATTCAATCATCGCTGATCCGACTCAAACTCAAACTATCCTCTTCCTCCGCAACAAAGTCAAGCTCACCCGTTCCCCCCTCACAGGAGAGCCCAGAATTGAATCGACAAGTCGGATCGGCGATCGAAATGAATCGGATCGACGGATATCGACAGCCAAGTCGGGAAAAGTCGAATCGGCAGACATCGGCAGGATGAGAAATCGGATCCCAAATCGGAATCCGACATCGGATCGAATCAGAATCGGAAGCCATCGAAATCGAATCGAATCGAATCGAAGGAGTCGAAACGAGCCCTGCCCTCATCATCCTCCTCCTCGACCTCCTCCTCGACTTCTTTCTCCTCCTCCTCCTCCTCCTCCTCCTCCTCCTCCTCCTCCTCCTCCTCCTCCTCCTCCTCCTCTTCCTCCTGGACTTGCTTCTCCTGCTCCTCATCCTCTTCGACCTCCTCCTCCTCCTCCTCCTCCTCCTCCTCCTCCTCTTCCTCCTGGACTTGCTTCTCCTGCTCCTCATCCTCTTCGACCTCCTCCTCCTCCTCCTCCTCCCTTCCTCCTCCTCCTCCTCCCTCCCTCCTCCTCCTCCCCCTCCTCTTCTTCCGCTTCCTCCTCCTCCTCCGCCTCCTCCTACTCCTCAACCTCTTCCATTTCCTCGTCATCCTCCTCCTCCCCGACCTTCTCGACATCATCCCTCCTCCCTTCTCCCACCCTCCTCCTGCCACGAAGGCACGCAGGCCGCCACTGCCGCACCGCACGCAACGATCCGCAGGCCGCGCACCCGAGGCCACTGCAGGCGCAGGGCCACCCCTGCCCGCCGTGGAACCCTGGAGACGAGGAGGGGACCCGCCGCCTGCACCAGCATCTGCGTCCTCAGGTCGCGGTCGAGAGCGACGACCCACCTGCCGCTGCTGTTCAGGGCCGCCGCGCTCAGCTCCTGACCCCGGGGGGGGGCGCGTCGGAGGCCGCCCTGCCAGGCCGGCGCAGAGAGGGGGCTGCAGCTTGCCGTCGCTCGGACGTCCATTTCCCGTGCATGTTTCGGTCTCGTGCGTGTTTTTTCCCTACCTAGGCTCTGCCTAGAAAGGTTCTTACTCTTAGCTTAAAGGGGCCGGGCAGTGCAAAGCGCCCCGGGCGGTTCCCCCAGTCCCCTGGGAGCGGTTCCCCCCAGTCCCCTGGGAGCTTTAGCTTTAGCTTTAGCTTTAGCATTAGCTTAGCTTTAGCTTAGCTTTAGCTTAGCTGTAGCTTAGCTTTAGCTTAGCGTTTCGCTTAGCTTTTCGCTTAGCGTTTAGCTTAGATTTAGCTTAGCTTTAGCTTAGCTTGAGCTTAGCTGTAGTTTAGCTTTAGCTTAGCGTTAGCTTAGCTTGAGCTTAGCTTTAGCTTAGCTTTAGCTTAGCTGTAGCTTAGCTTTAGCTTAGCTGCTGCTCAGCTTTAGCTTAACTTTAGCTTAGCTTTAGCTTAGTTTTAGTTTAGTTTTAGCTTAGCTCTAGCTTAACTTTAGCTTAGATGTGGCTTAGCTTTAGCTTAGCTTTAGCTTAGCTTTAGCTTAGCTTTAGCTCAGCGTTACTGTTACTTCTAATGCTGCTTTCCTAGGGGTTCCAACTCCTAGGTAGGGTCGCACTGGGATCATCTGTTGCTCGATGGTCCAGGATGGTCGTCGATGGTTCTCGCCGAGGACAACAATGCACACGTCCGAGCGATGCCAGGGCAGGACCGCGCCGGGGCGCCGCGGCGCCCTCATGGCGCCGCGCAGGGGCGACGCGTCGGCGCGACGTGGGGATGGGGAGGAGCGCGGCCTCCCGATCGCGCCGCGGCGTCGAGGCAGCGGCGGTGCGGCGCAGACCGCCGACCCCCCCTCTAGAGCCTGACTGGAGGGGCCCCAGGACACACAGAGAAGTACACACAAACAAAAAGATGCCCCACATGCTCCTACATTTCTGGGGGGCTTTGTCTTCCCCCCCACTTCCCGTACTTTTGCATCTTTTCCTGGGAGTCGACGATGCACTGTGTCTGTGTGCTTCTTTCCCTCCAGACTAACGTGGGCGGCCAGGAGGTGGGTAAGCTCGAGAGTGTGAGGAGTTGGGCAGCACACCCTCAAAGGCCCAGGACGGCCCAGAAGGGCCCCCCAATTCAGCCCCAGAGAGCCCCGAGGAGGCCCACGACGCCCACGGACGGCCACCAGACGCGCCAGAACTTTGCCCCGACCTCCCTAGAGACACCAGTATCGACCCAAGAGGCTTCAAAAGCCTGAAGCTTGGAACGTGCAACGTCTTCACGGATCGAGGGCGGTTCGTTTTCTTCAATCTGGCTCTCGCCTCAGCGCCGCGCACACGCGTGGAAGGCGGCTCGTTTTCTGAATGCGGATATCGCCTGAGCGCCGGGCACAGTCGTCTCAAAATGTTGCAGCAGCTTCAACAGTACAGGGCGGGTCCATGTCAGCATATGTGTCTCTCGCTGAAGCGCCGCGCACAGTCAGTCGCCTCAGAGGTTCGCAGCAGGTTCCAAGGACGGAAGGCCGCTCCTTGGCAAAATGTGGACTTCACCTTAGCGCCACGAGCGTTCGTCCACAAAGTTTCGTAGCAGGTTCGAGGACTCCTACGGTTGAAGTCCTGGTAAAAGGATGTCCTGGCACGAGGTAGGACTGCCAGGGCGCAACGATTCGAGTGATTCGCGGCGGCCACGATCTAGGAGTGTCAGGACGCAACAAGCACGTTGATTCGCGACGTTGGAGTCCAAGGAATGGTGGTTGGAACGATTAGAAAATCTCAGACGGTGATGTGCAAATGGGGAACAGCCAGCACTGAAGCTGTATACCATTGGAAGGACCTGTGAAAGAGGGAATTTGGAGGGAAGGCGACTTACAATAACATTGATGCACTTTGGGCTCACCCGGGTCCTCCTCATCCTCCTACTCCTCACCATCCTCCTTCTCCCTCTCCTCCTCCTCCTCCTCCTCCTCCTCCTCCTCCTCCTCCTCCTCCTCCTCCTCCTCCTCCTCCTCCTCCGCTCCTCCTTCACCTTATCCTCCTTCTCCTCCTCCTCCGTCTCCTCCTCCTCCTCTTCGTCATCCTCCTCCTCCTCCTCCTCCTCCTGTTCCTGCTCCTCCTCCTCCTCCTCCTGATATCCATATTCTTGTCGGTGCCCACCAACCCTGCCACCTGCCAGGCCAGGGCAATGCGGGCTACATCCGGGGGGGGTCCACTCGACACGTCTTTTAGCAACACCGCACTCTCCCGTGCCAGCATGGACATGATGTCGCCCATGCTGCAGAAGACAAGGTCGGATGGACGGGCGGGAGCGCGCAGCCCGCCCGGGACGCCGAGATGCTGCCCTCGCCTCGGCGCCGCGCTCATGCTCCCAAGGAAGCGGGCTCCCGCTCGGGCGCGGCGCGCATGTTTTCGCACGCGGGTTCTTCGACGCGCGAGCGGGCGAACACGTCGTTGTCGCCTCGGCGCCACGCAGACTTCGCCTCAAGGCGGCGTTCCCGCCGCGGCGCGGCTCACCTCTGTCACGCGACAAGGTTTGGGGGCCGCGCGAGTGGGCGCCTTGCCGCCCTCGCCCAAGTTCCGCGCGCAGGTCCTTGGGAAGTGGTGTCCCAACGCGGGTGCGGCGCATGGGATCGCCGAAACGCACGAGATTGACAGTGGCAACGGAACCGCGCGAGAGGGTGCGGCAAGATACCAACCTCGCCCACGCGCCGCGACGCTTGTGAAAAAAGAGAGAGGGCTGTGTCAACGCGGCGCATGTTTCGTCTTCGCCGCGCCCATCGGAAATTGTGGCGCTTCCACTCCTGCGCGGCCCGCGTGATTATCATTTCGCCAAGTCGTCTGAAGCGGGGCTGCAAGCGAGCGCCTCAAAACCAAAGATGTGTGCCACAGTTGGTTAGCATGTTGTGGGAGGAAGGGTGGGCAGGGCTCTCTGACACGTTCGACCTGCTTCTACTCCAATAGTTTTCCTTTTTGTTGGTGCACTGGGGGCCCGACCACAAGAAACCTTCCACAAGAAACCCAACCCGGAAACCCCAGGATGTCCATCGGTTGGTGGTGTGGGAACGTCACACCTTCTTGGCATGGGCCTCCACTGTATCTACTCCTCCTCTGCCACCGAGCCGGCCGATTGGAACCAGATCTGGGATGTCCCATTGTACCTGTGGAAGACGATATTCAAGAAATGTTCCCACGGACATGTGAGCGTTTTTTATTCGGCGTTTCGACATTGGGCAGAAAGGGGGGGAGGGGGGGGTCTGGCTGCGGACCCCTGCTTAACGCGTCTGTTTGCAACAGTGCGCCCCATGGGGGAAACTCCACCAGCTCCAAACAGGCGCCAAAAAACAGCCAACATCTATTCCAGGGGGGGGAGGGGGGGAGGGGGTCCGCGCCGATCAGCAAAACAATGAATACGAAAACGATCACCGTTACGTCGTACATGTTGCAAAATCCGATCCCACGCAAAGGCCGAAGTGCCGTTCTCGTGTCGGCGCCGCGCTCGTCGAGAGAATCGAGCTCCCGCTTGGGCGCGGCGCAGATTTCGCTTGAAGCTGCCGCTCCCGCCCCGGCGCTGCGCAGATTTCGCCTCAGACTGGCGTTCCCGCCTCGGCGCGGCTCACCTTTGTCACGCGACAGGTTTTAGGGGCCGCGCGAGTGGGCGCCTTGCCGCCCTCGCCCAAGCTCCGCGCGCGCGTCCTTGGGAAGTGGCGCCCCAACGCGGGCGCGGCGCATAATTCGCCCGCCGAGCCGCATGAAGGCGACAGCGGCAACAGGGCCGCGCGAGAGCGGGCGAAATGCCGACCTCGCACAAGCGCCGCGACGCTTGCGAGTGAAAGTGGCAGCGCCGTGCCATCGGAACTTGTGCCGCTCCCACTCCTGCGCGGCCCGCGTAATTATCCCTTCGCCAAGTCGTCGGGAGAGGGGTCGCGCGCGAGCGCCTGCTGTTTGCGAGGTGGGAGCGCCTTCCAATCCCAATACCAAGTTTAGCCCCCGTTGACCATTCCCAACCATCCTGTCGTGTTGGGTCCCCGTTTCGAAAAGACGGTCCCCGCGTTCTCCTTCCTTGTTCCTTCCTTCCTCCTCCCCGCCTCCTCCCCCTCCTCCCTTTTCTCTTCATCGGCAACATCATCAGCATCATCAGCATCATCAGTATCATCGTCATCATCGCCATCATCACCATCATCGGCATTATCATCGCCAGTCGTCACCATCATCTACACCCGTTTCGGCACACACACACACACACACCACACGCTGATTGGCCCCATGGGTAGCTCCACCGAAGGCCCCAGTGCCACCGTCCACATGCCTGCCCCACACCCATTTCGGCACACCCCTCACACGTTTCGTGGCCCCATAGGCGGATCCACCGAAGGCCACAGTGCCACCGTCCACAAGCGTCCCCCACACCCATGTCGGCACACCCCTCACACATTTCGTGGCCCATATGCAGATAAACCGAAGGGCCCAGTGTCGCCGTCCACATGCGTCCCCCACACCCATGTCGGCACACCCCTCACACGCTTCGTGGCCCCATAGTGAGCTCCACCGAAAGTCCCAGTGCCACCGTCCACACGCGTCCCCCACACCCATGTCGGCACACACCCCACACGTTTCGTGGCCCCATAGGCAGCTCCACTCAAAGCCCCAGTGCCATCGTCCACATGCGTCCCCCACACACGCACACACACACACACACACACGCACACGCACACGCACACGCACACACACACACACACACACACACACACACACACTTCGGCACACCCCTCACACGCTTCCTGGCCCTATAGTGAGCTCCACCGAAAGCCCCCCAGTGCCACCGTCCACATGCGCCTCCCACACCCATTTCGGCACATCCCTCACGCGCTGCGTGGCCCCACAGACAGCTCCACCGAAGGCCCTGTGCCACCGTCCACATGCCTGCCCCACACCCATGTCGGCACACCCCTCA